GAAAACACCCCTTGGCTGTTGGTTGTTTGTTGTTGCGCTCTTGTTCGGGGGCGTAATGAACTTGAATCACTTGCGATAAGCGCAAAAAAAAAACAACAAAAACAACAACAAAATACGATTACAAATACGAGTAAAAATAAAAAACCCATTCAAAGTGCGAACCAGAAATAATTCCAACAAGCGACTTGGCATTTTGTGCATTAAACAACAACTAAATGAGTAGCAACAAGTGCACGATTGCGTCTGCTCGACTTGAAGCATACCCTGGACATGAGCAATGCATAAACGTTTAATTGGTGACGCGCGTGCTTGAACCACTTGAGAATTCGAAACGAAATATGCCGATTATGTGTGACCTTGTGCGCGAAATTTGCCGTTATCACAGAACAGTTATAAACTTTTTATGACTTGTGATTTCGAAAAGTTGTTGCTATTATTCCATTTTCTCTGTTTTTTTTTTTTTTTTTTTTTTGTGTACTCTTCGTTATCCATTAAACTTTTCCAGCTGAGCGATTCGAGTGCTGAAACTAATCATTAATTATATTGTTACCTGAATTGTTGAAGTGCTTGTTGTGCCCGCTGCTATTGTATAACAATCTAAAGGTCTACTTTCTGTTTTTTTTTTTTTTTTTGCACAAATATATGTGGATGGTTGCTTTCATCAGCATTCGATGGGAGCAATGCATGAATCATTGGCACACATTGCGCACAGTTCTTAAATATATATTGACACACGATTCTAACTAATTCTATAACCAACTATTTTGTGAGTTGTATATATAATGAATTGAATATCTTTTAGAATAGCTCTGTACTAAATACTCCACGACATATAGAGACTCTTTACAAAAAAAAAGTAATTAAAAAGATTATTTGATCAAAATTAAGATTCCCTTATCAAACGCTTCTTTTGTCATTTCTGAGCGGAATAAACAATTGTAATCTGTTTTTTTTTCCTGCAGGAATGTGTGAAATATTAGATTTGAAAACTTCCTGACCTCAAAGAATTGCAAACTTTAAAGCAGTCACAACATTTCCGAAAGTGTAAAACCAAAAGCTGCTGAAAACTAAATTCAATTATCTAATAGGTTTTCTAGCAGATAAGTTTTAATGAGATAAGATTATTAAATTAGAGACTCTTCTCTGCAACTCTCAGCTCTCAATAGTTTCCTAATCATTCTGAGAAGACCTGCAGATACTCTTGTGCAAACGAAAGCTTTGAGTTTATTTAGCATTTGACTAAAGTACAAGGTTTCGGTGCAAAGAGTGTTGCTTAAATGGGTTATGCTAAATGTATATACCCTGTATAATCGCTTCGGCTGCAGGGTATACTCAGCGAGACGCTTCACCGCGTACAGGCCATTGATGCACTCATTGTTTTAACTAATTTTTTGTTTTTTTTTTTGTGATTTTTGTCCATTGTTGTTCTCAAATGAAAAGCACTTTCGCACGAAATAAAAATGTATTCGAAAAAAAAAGGAAAGAAAATTTGTATGCAGTCCAGATAATTATTTGTTAGTTGTAAACAATATATATAGTATACAGATATTGCATAAGCGCAATTGCAACTGGAATTCCCCGGAGGCACAATATAAACTGAATACCTGTAATTTACAGGGCGAGCAATTAAACAACCAGCGGCCCATAAATCCAACGATCGTAAAGCTTTATATATGCATATATATATTATATACATATATTCTAAGTGCGTCTGGTAAGAACTAGAGATGAACTCGTCTTTCGATTAATTCTAACACGACACGATACACAATTTCGTAACACGACACGACTGCGCACGTGACGTCATGCGTCCGTGTGGCTTACGTGCCTGCGCGTCGAACTAGCGGGTAGAAGGTCGCTGGTTCAAATTCAACTTTAACTTTTTATTCACAACGAAAGAAAAAAAAAACAATAACAAAAAAACAAAATACAAGACATTTTGATAACAATTGAATTTTAAACAATATTAAAGATGTCTTGACTTTATTTGAGCCCAATTACCGTAACGCGATCTAATAATTAACTTCTGTTACTTTAGAAATTTGAAACTTAGCATATTTTCCATAAAGCGCATTTTTTCCAAATTACAACAGGTTTTTTAAAGTTCTGCTTTAATTTGCAGGACATTTTTTCAACATCGTGTTAGCTTGTGCGTGATCGTGTCACAAACGTGAACGTGAACTCAACTCTAATAAGAACACAAAGTCCGAAATCGAAATCGAAAACCGAGAGACTTGAGTCCATTTTGGGTGCACATGTTTGTACCTAAATAATTGTTATGTACTGTACTGACGGCCAATATCGAGACCCCGCCGCGATTGCCGCGCTCTTGTATTTGCACTCATGTGCGAGATTCAAATGTACTTATTTTTTATGAATATGTACTTTACTGTCTTATTTTTTTTGGTTTTTTTTTTTTTTGTTTTTTGAGTTACGAGTTTGATGTTTCTTTCGGTTACCCACCCGTGCACTTTTTTGCCTTTTGTTTTTGTTTAACAATCCATTGCGTGTGCTTTGTTGTTGTTGCTTCGTTCAATTTTCGCGCGTTTCGTTCAGATTTGTAAGTTCGTTCGTTGAAGTTTGTGTCTGTGTGTGTGTTTTTTTTTTTTTTTTTTTTGGAGCTTCGAAGCTTGAACTTCGAAGGCAGCCGTTACACTGAGGCGGCGGCGAAGAGAGAGCCGCACAAAATGGCGAGTGGCTACTGCCAAGCGCGAGGGAGTGAGTGAGTGAGTGAGTAAGAGAGAGAGTGAGCCAACGTTTAGCTGAGTGCCTGTGCGTCTGTGACTCTGCGTGTGCGTGTGTGTGTGAAGCAGACTGCGGGTTTATTGTACATGTGTGTACACACGAACGCACATGTATGGGTGAGCCGCAGTCGTAATAATAAATTAAATACGTTATCAAAGTACAACAACGGCCGCTACGTTGATTATGAAGTTGTGTGTTGGCCCGTTTTGATTCAATTGTGCATTAAATGCCGGCACATACAAATACAAATACACATGCAAATACAGTAAAAACTCAAATGTACTGCTTAGATAATTGATCAAATCAAAATTCGTATAAAAACAAATTCATTATTTTACACGCTCGCAAAACTTATATATATATATATATCTATTATAAACGATTAACTGAATAAACAAATTGTCCAATTAGGTTTAATGTCTACACTAACAAATATAAAGTAAAAAACATTTTGAGCTGTTCGCTTAATCGAGCTTTCACTGTATAGCTGTGTGTGTGTGTGCTTTTCTTCTTCTTTATATTTATGCACTTGTGACTAATGAAAAAGAGAGACAATTGAGGGCTCTAGTTGCGTTATTGAACATTCCTTTCTGGGCGGCTAACAGGTGTCCGCCAGTGGGCCATTGCCCCTACCAGCCCCCCCCCCCTCCCCCACTACTCCAACAAGCTGCTGCTGCTGATGCTATTGTTGTTGTTGTTGTCGTTGACTTTGTCACGCGCTGCCGGTGCGCTGCGGGTACATTTAGCGAGTAAAGGAGGCCGCCCCCCGTTATCGCAGTAGGTTGTGCAAACACATACACGCGCACACACCCACTGCCCATTATATATATATATATATATATATATGTGTGTGTGTGTGTGCATATAGCTAGATAAGCGTCAACGCGTACACAATCAAGGTACGTTAATTATAGCTACAAATAAAGCCTAAGTAACATTTGTAATATAAGCAACAACGCACACACACACAGACACACACACACACACGCACACACTCAGCAAACGATTCGAGTGCGTGTGTCCGTCGCAATAATCGATTAACTAGAAAGAAAAAAAAATAGAGCATCGATGCCGCTAAAATCGTTCGTTATTGCCCAATTTAGTTTTGACAATTGCGTTTATTTTTTCCATTAAATCCGGATTTTTCTGGCTTTATTTATTGGACTTTTTTTTGGCTAGGTAATTTCATAATGCGAGTAGCGTGTACGAAAAGGCCGAGTTTATTTCGATATTTATCGATTGCTTGGCCCGTATCCTTTGAATCGATAACAATCGATATTGATGTCCTGTTTTTTCAGCCATATTTCGCAGCTAAAAACAGAAAGTTTGGTACGTATACGCTGGTATAACATTTTTTTTCTATGGATACCTCAACATTTCCTCTAAAATTTAACATTTTTTTTGCTTTTTTGGAGGTTTCACTTTGGGTTTTGTTATCTCCGCACATTTGAATGCCATATTTATGCTCTAATAAATTCATACAGATCGGACAATAAAAACACAAGTTAATGACTTAAACGTGTTCGACAGTGTTGGGCTAAGAGAAGAAGAGGCATGCGTTTGTTTTTTCTTTGTGGATGTTTCGAAAAACGATAATATGTGTAAAGAACACTGAGCGCTGGGTTCAGGGTAGCTTCTAGTCGGGCACTCCCAACTATATTATTTTGTTTTTATACGATTCCTTTTTTTTAAGCTAACTGGAAACAAATCGCGCCTTACGTTAACTCCAAACTGCATTGTTGCATCCAATTGGTTTTTTTTTTCGCAAAATAGGGGCACACTGGAGGCTAATTGAATTGGAGTTAACTTGCAAACGCATACATAAACATAAAACACTCCAATGCAAAAACAACCCCAAAACTCGCAGGGTCACACCTTATTCTACGCATGCATGTAAATGTGTGTATATGTATATATACATACATACATATTTATTCCATCATTTAATATGCTCGCACTAATATTCAATTAATATTAAATCACATCACTAGGGCACAACCCACGTTCGCGCACGCACACACACACACACACACACACACACACACACATACTGGTGCACATGTATTATGGGCCGGCATCATCGGCGGCCTTGTGTTAGGCGAATGATGGACATAGACAAACGGAAAAAATTGCTAATTCTAATACACACACAGCTGCAGGTGCAGGTCCGTTAGAAAGCTTTCGCTGATTCTTTGACATACACACTCTGTCTCTCACTCTCTCGCTCTCTCTTTGTGTCTGTCTGTCTTACTTACCATGCTGTTGGTCACAAAAAACGGTAATGGCTGCTTCCTACTAAGCAAGGAAGAGGAACTGGCAATGGCAATGGCAATGGCGTGTTGTTTGTCTTTTCGTTGCAGGAGCGGTCCGGTCCTGTGTGTTGGACGATAAGGCGCCAATCGACATGCACACACGCAATGCTTAACAGGGCGTGAGGGGATCGGGCGCTGACTGACCTCTTCTTGCTGAAGTGCACACAGGGTGTGTTCGTCTGCACGCTCCGCGCGTAAACAAACCCAACGCGAATATCGATGACGACCGATGAGCAGAGGCGTTTGCGTTATGGTTGTGCGGCTCTTGCGGGGCGAATTGGGTACGGGGCACTCTGGGCGGATGCTTGCTCTCGCACTCGCTCTCTTTGCTAATTCGCTGCCTGCTCTCTTGTTGCTAGCTGTGGCAACGTCGGCGCCGATTTGTTTGGTTTATTTTTATACACAAAAGTTTCAATGTTTCCTTGGCGTGCTGCAGCAGCAACAACAAATTTCATTAATATTTGCGATTTTTATTGAATTCAATGCACACATATATTAAATTGCACGTGTGTGTGTGTGTGTATGCGTGTGTACATGTACATATGTATGTATATTTTTCGGTATTTGCCTTGCTATTTTTTTTTTGCTGCTCTCTTTTCGTCTCACACCTCACACCCGGCGACGAACAAGCGATTTATAGTCTGCGCGACTCCTCGTCTTTCCACACTGCCAAGCCCGAAACGAACTTTGTTAAAACACTACCAGCAGAAAAAAAAACAACAACAACAACAAAAAACACAACAAAACAATTTACCACTGACTACAATTAGTTGTAACAGATATCGATCGATTTTTGTCTTTACCAGGAGACACCAACGAGTAATCGCTTTATTTGTAGATTTTTCTTTTGCTCTGCGTGTTTATGAAGGGGCGCAACGGCGTCGATGGCGGGCTGAGCGGCGGCACGAATATTGCAAATTGATTTTTTATTTTTTTTATTTTGTGCGAGTGTTTTTTTCCGTAGTGTAGCTCATTGAACGGACGTTGCTGCTGTGTAATTGCTTGGCGCGCACATTTTGCCGATTAAGCCCGAAAAACAATGACTGCTTTTTTTAATCTGAGTAATAGCTAATAAATATAAACCGCCGCACTGGCAACGCGACCGCAACAACAAAATGCTAGTGCTGCGAGAAAATAATCGATACGAGTTTGGCACATCTCTAAGAACGCGACAGTCATTTAACATAGTATTTTCAAAATTATCGTACTGTTAAGCAATCGATAATTGAAGTAGGCTAAATTTGGGTAGGCGAGACAATGGAAAATACGCGGCGTTTCTTTTTGGTTCCTTACCAAAATATACCGAAATGTGTGTACATTTTAGCAGTTTTACAAATCTTTAACTTTGGTGCATAAATTTACAGCAACCTTTGACTATCTGGCAACCATAGGTACGCGGTCTAACCATATCGATAGATGTGTGATTCAGTATTTTATATTTTTATTTAAAGAATACTCAAATCTTTTGTGTATGTAAAACCATAGCTATATTTAGTAGCTCAACTGAAGAGGTTCAGTCTCATTCAATCAAAATAATTTATAATTAAAAAAATACTTAGTATTTTTGAGGGATTTTCGCAAATACCAAATTAGTATTTTCGTCACTTGCAATATATCGATAAGTTATATTTTATTAGCGTGCGACGTGCGCTGCGAACGTATGTTACGTGTGTTTTCGGCTTGTTAACTTTTTTTTATTGTTTCCTTCCTCTTTTTTTTTTGTTGTTGTTATTGTGCGTGTGCGTGACTGCAGCTGAGCGCAGCCGTAACAAGAATCAAATATAACGCAATCTTAATAAGCCCCCAACAAGCCAACTGCAGTCGTATTTGCAGCGTTCTACGGCAATGTATGTGCAGAAAACTTTAAACAAACAAAAGAAATAGACCAAAGGCAGAGAGCAAAAAAAAAAGAGTATAAAAACGCGTGTTGAGCCGCAGCCGTAAGCGAAGCGCGGAGCCCAAGGCAGAGCCAGAGCTCAGTTGTGCTCGCTGCTCCAAGAGGCTGAAGCTGAAGAAGAAGAAGGAGGAGAAGCAGCAGCAGCAGCAGCAGTAGGCGAACAATTGTTCAATTGCCGTTGCGACTCGGCTCTCTCGCTCTCGCACGCTCTGCCGCTGCTGCTGACCGACCGCCTGTCCGTCAGCGCGTCGTCATTCGCTTTGTCGTCGCCGTTGCCGTCGCCTGTTTTCTAAACGCGCGCGTTCTTCGCTTTTCCTCTTCCGGCCTGGCCGCGTTGAAGTTAACAGCAAATAATCATAACAGCAACAACAACAACAACAGCAGCAGCAACAACAACAAATTGCGATACGAATAACAGCAACAAAATGGTAAGTTCACAGTTAATGCAATCTTTTTATTTTTGTTGCTTGTTGTTTCTTATTGGACATATCATGACTTATGCATTTCCTTTGTTGATGTGTCGCCAAAGCGCAACATTTGATGGCCAAAATTCAATGGCCACTGTCGGCGCCGCCGACGCAGCAGCAGCGGCAGCAGCAGCTGAGTGTGCACATGCTAGGCATCTCGCTCGCACTCGCTAGCTACGTGCCCAGCCACATGGTGGGGCCATAAAAAAAAAAAACCAAATTCGCCAAAGGCAAAAACAAAAACATTTCAATGTGACAACGGCGAACTCGTGCGTCCAAGAGAGTAGAAAAGGGGAGGGGGGGAGAGGGGGTAGAGGGAAGAGTGCGTGCTGCGACACAATAAATTTGCATTGTTTTGTTTACATGTTTCCATTTCTTCGTTCATTCTATACTATTTTGATTTGTTTGTGTTTGCTTTCCTGCTCACACCCGCAACGCATTGGCTTCCATTTCATCACAAAATTAACGGCGAAAACCGTTAACCGTTGCTTGTGCTAGGTTAGGGTTAAGCCCATGTGCCCTCTTGCCGCACCTTGCGCCAATCTTTTCGCCAGTCGCGAGTAATATGTACTTTTCGTTTCATATTCTTTTACTCTTCGCAAGATGGTAAACCTAGGGTATGCACAGTTTTGGACTACCTCAGATGGTCTAGTTGTTGAAGTAAGCACCTAAAACTTTACAGATTAGAATGTTCCAGTAGTTTGATGCATTGTTACGGAGAAGTTTATAGATCAGCTGCGTTGTGGGGCTAAGCTTGGTAGGGTATTCAAACTTCGGCACTACACAAAATTGGTTAATTGTTTTTATTGGCATGTTATCATTGTAAAGAGTGCAACATACATTCGATAACTTCGCTTGGAACAGGGTATATTCATTGTCAAATTTCGTTATTTAAATACACATAACAGGGAGCCTATAAGATCTAGATGGGCATTTGCAACCAGTTAATACAGTCTACTTCCTTTCACATTGTGAACAATGACAATAAAAGTTTTCGAAAAGCACGTTTTCCGCCTTGTCAGTCCCAGTGTGACCGTGCCAATATAGAACAAAAATCCAAAAGCTGAACAATACGCATTTCATCTTAATATAAGCACAAATCGTTTTGGCTAATTAGCAAAGACACAAACCACACGCAACAGTGCTCCCCTCTCTCTCTCTCTCTCCATGTTTAGCTGTTCGCTGTTCGTCCTTGGCCTGTGCACACTGTATGTGCAACAATTTGCACATAGGCCTGGGCGGTGCGGTGCAAGGTGGCAGCAGCAGTTGATGCCACTCCCACGCGCTGCTGCAGCGTCCCGATTTTACATGAAATTTCCCCAGCTGTCGCAGCTTATTTATTACCATCTGCATTTAGCTCTATTCGCTGCATATGCAGCGGCCCCTGTGGCGCATGCGTCAGCATCTGGGGCAAACGCACCCTATCACACCTACACCCCCACCCCTTTGCCCAGACCGTCCAGGCACAAAACACACATCATCGGCCCACCTGCCACCTGCTTGAAGTCTGTGTTCGTATATGCATACAACTAATATGCATATATGTATATCTTCTCGCTCTCTGTCTCTCTCTTTCTCTATATATATATATATATATATATATATATATATATATATATATACTGTATATAATTGCATTGATCAGCAATCAGTCAGTTATGTATAGATATACATATATAGAGAGCTAGCTGCATACTTGGAACTTTGGAAAATGCCATACACCGTGAAAAATGCGTGAAAAGGCTCTTTTGTTTTAAAACCGTTGCAGCGAATTGGTAACCGAAAAATGCGTGGAAATGCGGCTATTGGCAACCTTTTTTATATATATATTTTTGCTTTCGATAAGCTTGTTGGGATGCTTTATGTTTGGGAAGATTGGGCATATTCAGTTCAGTGGAAAATGTGTCTGCAATCTTGTTTGAATAATAATTTAAATATTGTCCAATCAGTTTTTGTACATTAGACGAGAGAAAGAGTGTACAATCGATTTGCACAACGCCTTTGCGCTGAGTGAAAAATGGGTGGAAATACAATTTAAACATGGAATGCAACAAAATACGCAATTACAGCTATGTTAGTTTATTTGTTCACTTAATTCTTTTGCACACACTGGTCCCACTGTTGCATTTGTAAATAAGAACTGCCTTGTGATGTGTGTACACATTGTAGATATTTTGTTATTGTTCGATTTGGTTTGCTTTTGTTGCGTTTTTATCCGGCATTTTTTGTTTTCATTTTAATTTTCGCTTCTGTTGCGATTTTGCAACCCTTAAATGCGACTCTCGCTCTGCCTCATCATTTCTCTATTTTTGTCTTCTTATTCATTTTTTTTTTGTTTGTTTCTTTGTTGTTTGTTCTTCACCCATTTTTGGCAACATGTTGATGTATTTCCATTTCAAGCAAACACACAAACACACACACACACACACACACACACATGCAGCACGTGTGTGCGATTATGTGAGCTTTTGTTTTCTTTTTGCAAGGTCATTCGCTTTGCTTTTATTTACTGTGTCAAAAAAGCGGTAAAAAAAGCATGGAATTTATTGTGTGTGGCCAGGCAACATGATTTTTTGATAACAGTTTATTTGTGATTACCCTGGAAAAAAGATGTCTAAAGCGTGCGTCACAGGAGAAGGAAGGGTCTATAAAGTATATATGTATATATATATATATATATATATATATTTATATATATGGTAATGTGATAAGCAAAAATCGATTATCTTTTCTATATCAGAAAGCAGAAATCGATTAACTTTTCGATATCAGAAAGCAGAAGTCGATAATTGTTTCTGTTCGATATCGGAAAGCACAAATCGATTATATTTTCAATATCGGAAAGCAGAAATCGATTATAGTTTCTGTTCGATATCAGAAAGCAGAAATCGATAATCGTTTCTTTTCGATATCAGTTCCCATTTGGTAAAAATCGATAAAAATCGATTGTGCGACTTGGTTTTTGAAGCATAACGTAAAAATAATATGAGCTTGTTCTCTTTAGATCACGAACATTGAAAAGTGTGCGATATCTAACTAAATTTGCCAGAAAATTGAAGAAAAAAGAAGCTAGATAGATTGAATAGCTGTGCTCGGGCTATATCCTTGCGTTTT